CTCTTGAAATAACACCAAAACACAGGGGCTGAATTTAGAACCAAGCATCATGTGAAAGTCAAAGCAATTCACAGATATTTATACTCATGATGAAATGATTTCCGTGCAGGAGCTTATGTTCGCCATCCCACGTTTCTTATTCATTACTTAAGAAGTGTGAAGTAGGATTCCATAATGTTTGAAAAAGAAATGTTTATTCAAGTACAGCCTCAACCAAGATGATTATAATTGTAACCTCCCTGTATTCTCTTTTTATGTTCTGAAATATGCTGTATTTTTACGGGTTGTACTCTTACTTATCTCTTCTATTTGTACCTATACTTATACTTGGACATGTTTATCATTTCTATATGTGCATCGGCAAAATAGTTATACAATTATTTTGTTTTCCAATGTCTTAATACAACACAATGCATGTTTCAATTAATTAATGTAATGTATCAATAAGGATATCTTTGGCAAGAAAATCGAGTCATGACATTTCCCCCATTGTTCAGCATTAAATCCATCTCAGTTAGAGTGAAAACTATAAAAGCACAATCCCCTAATTAAAAATCCTTCTTCTAGGCGCTTAAAGAAATAAAAAAAGGCTTCTTTTGGTGATTGGGCCAAAAGTGTTGCCCAAATTCCTCTTGCTTTTGAATTGTGTTGCTCACAGGCAAACACCAGTGATAACTTTACCTCCCTGGGTGAAAACAGTAATGATATCCTCTTCCTGCAAAGGTCAAACATGACTTCAATGCATTCTAATGCAAGAGTCTTTGGCATCAACATTGCATTGATTAAAATACAGATATGAATTACCCAGCCTGCAGACATTTCCAGGTAAAGTGTACACACACATATATATATATATATATATATATATATATATATTAGTCCTATAATAAGTCTGCCTCAGCCACTGCAGATATGTGGACACCTCGCGTTTACAGCCTCGCGTAAAGCACAGGAGTTTACAATCTCATAAAAGCCTTCATTGTGCTTTATCATCTGCAACTCTGACACGTTTGAAGTGTCGGGAAATGTCCATAATTCGAGGAATGTGCTGATGTTATATTAGTAATTCAACACTGTTCCATTGTTAAAACCAGTGGGGGCGGGTCCCGGCTCAAAAGTGGCCAAAATGACATGTGCTGACCATAGACTGTAAATATTAACCCTTAAAGCGCCAGAAGTTTCTTTCTAAAACGCTTGATTGTGACATCTTAATTTCAAAAGGCTATAACTTAAAAGTGATAAGAGATAAAGGCTTTCTGTAAATTAGAAAAATATTAAGGATGGCCCAAAGTTTATGGAGAGAATAAATCCAACCATCTAGTTTGCATATTATGACGACAATATGACGAAATTGTGGATTTTAGAAGTTTTATACAATATTTTTATTTTTCTAACTGACAAACATATATTGATCACTAAGATATGAACACACACAGAACTCATACTATAACATTGTAAATGTTCAGGGAAATAGTAAAAAATACAAATCATGGTGTTGCTGTGAGCAGTCTGCCCAGACCTTGACTGTAAATATTAACGGCCAGAGTCACGCCTATCTCCGCTGTTCAAACAAATGGGCCAAAAATTGTGCTCTACTGGCGCTATCCAAAATGGCCGCGGGTGGTCCCAACCACAAGAAAATTGTGAAAAAACGCATCTGCGCATGCGTCAGCCGGCGCGAGCTCCATTCATTTAAACAAGAGACTTCAAAAATTCACAGCAAGTAAACTAGAGTGGTCCAAAAAAATTCACCCCACTCAGCATTGACACACATGTGGAACAGAGCTTTGGGCCAAGAGCCAACTTTTGGACCATCCTGTAAAGACGTTTTTGAGAGGTCTGCCAATGCTATATGTTAGCATTGGCTAATTCTTCTTCTGGGTCCACCCCCATCGGCCCGGGGTGGTATTGCAAGCATGTCAGCGCACGTCATTTTGGCCACTTTTGAGCCGGGACCCACCCCCACTGGCGCTGACATGCTGCAATACCACCCCGGGTTAGGTGGTGGGGGTGGACCCGGAATAAGAATTAGCCTATGCTAACATATAGCATCTTCTTACCTCTCGAAAATGTCTTTACAGGATGGTCCAAAAGTTGGCTCTTGGCCCAAAGCTCTGTTCCACATGTGTGGATAGCTCCAGTAGAGCACAATTTTTGGCCCATTAGTTTGAACAGCGGAGATATAGGCGTGACTACATCCGTTAATATGTACAGTCTATGGACATGTTTCAAAGCAACAAAAAACAAGAAAATTTTTAAAGAACCTGGTGTTTTTTGTTTTGTAAATAACACCACATGTGTACCCTACCAATATTATATACAACAACACATAACCGCTAACATAACATATAATCTAACAACATCATATTACAGCGAGCATATCTTGACCTGAAATGTGTTGTGGCTTGTGTGCACCGCAGTGAGTAGTTCAGAGGACTTTTGCGGTCTTCCCATAGCCCTCAGTTTTGATCCTCAACACAGAGTTCCCTGCAACTGCATTTTACAGCATTTGCACGACTTTTTACAGGTGCAGCAGTGCCTGGATCAACAACAACATGTGATATCTCTGTGATCACACTTCAGCGGTTTTGAGTTCAGTTGGTTAGAAAAGTGTATAAAGACTTTGTACTTTGCAGATATTGCTTTTTGCAGGTTATTTTTTTAGAACAAAACTCTTGTGATAAATGAATGACCACTGCAATGAGTCTGTTATATATTATTTTCATACTTGGTATATATTGCAAGTTGAATAACAGAAGTGAACAGATTTCTGAACGATATTCTAATTTCCAGAGTTTTACCTGAAGGTTATCTTTTGCATAGCTGTATGAAAGAGCCCTGTGAGTCATAATTCGACTCTAAGGGCTGGAGGCGGCTTGGTTGAGCGAATTTGGTTCTTTCTATTTTCCTTTTCTGTATGAAAAATTCCATCTAAGGGGCCCAAAAAACAGTGATAGAACTGTTTTTTTTCTGTTTGGGAGCTATATTTTTTTATTCAAAATCGAGGTAGACCAGTTTTAAACAATCTTTTCATGTTTTACATTTAGCACAGTCAAAAGTGCACTTAACCAAACTCAACATCCACAAAGTGAATAGTGCGTAAAATCATCCCATATTAATTCTGTGCCATTGCATGGAATGGTTACACCCAGACACTGGCTCACTGCCTCCCATTGTCATATCTTCCCTATCGATCCCTATAAGCCTGAGCGCATCAGTCCATATCTGATTTACTGCATGGCAACTCAAGCCTAAAGTTATGATGAAGTCTGTGATATTTTTTATTTACTTTTTTAATATATTTTATTTACCCCGGGATAATCTCGGAATCCAATAAATCCGCAGGGCATCTCACAAATCCATATGTGATAAGTCAGCTCACCAAGGTCAGCTGATTATAACTCACTGTTATGTTCATTTCAAGTTTATTACACAGATTTAACACTAGGTAGGGCAAAAATGTTGATGTCACTATGTCCGATAAGCAGTAAAAACATTATGCAGCCTCATAGTTGATTAACAGTTAAATACAGTATTGATTCAAATGAAGTAACCACATAAAACCATCGTTTGTGACGTGTTTCTCCCAATATCTAAAATGTATGGACCTTTGTCATCATTTATGGATATTGGTCACCCGCCCCTGATGGACCTATGTGTATTTATCATTGCATTTCTTGTGTTGAACTGTTTTAATCTCTGATCTGTGTTGGCGAATGTAATGGTTTTGTAAAGTCCACTGAGATCACTATTGTTGTGATTTAGGGCTATACAAAAATACATTGAATTTAATTAAAATCCATCAGCAGAATAACTTTCCAAAAGCGCAAATAGCGGAAGATGTACATGATAACAAAAAAAAAACACAAAACAATATTTAAAAGGTCGACAGGGAGGAGTGAACACACACTATTTGAGGATTCCAAGTGAGGAGCTGATAAGTGTGCACGCCATATATTGGCCATATTTTCATGCGAAAGCCAGATACCGTCAAACCTCTGAAGCCAAGCAGTCAGGGCCTGGTTAGTACTGTGATTGGAGACCTGTGGGAACACCAGTCATAGTGGGGCTGCTACGGCGGTAAAGGGCTTAAGGACACAACTCCCGTTGTGTCCTTAAGCAAAACGCTTCACCCACATTACCGAGAATGGTGTGTGTGAATGGTAGATGGTGGTTGAAGGGACCTTTGGCACATACTGGTTGCCTTGCTTCTGTCAGTGTGCCTGAAGGCAGCTGTAGCTACAGTAGTAGTTTATCACCACAGTGTATGGAGTGAATGAATAATGACAAGTGAATCATCTTTGAGTGTCCAAAAAAACGCTATATAAAACCAATGCATTTTTTATTATTATTATTGTTATTGCCACAGTGCCGCATATAGTGCCAATGTGTAGTCCGAATGTACACAAAGAAAAACATATATTAAATGTGTATATATATATTTATATGCATACAGTATACAGTAGGTCCCATTCCGTTTTGTCGCCTTTCACGCGTGAATCACACGAGACTCACGTGTGATTCACGCGTCTTTTATTTTCCCCCCTCCCAGTGACGTTGCAATGACCAAAACAACCACCAGGTGGCACTTGTGAGCAGGGTTACATTGGCGAGTTTCTGCCCTGCGCACATCGACAATCTGGTTAAAACGGGCAACTCCTTGTAGTCTCTGGAATAACCCGCAGACATTAAAACTACTGCACACTGAGAAAAGTGTTGCAAGCGCAACTTTGAACCTAAGTACTTGTATTTGCAATTTCGGACTTAAAATTTATTCTTATGGTTTTAATATTAGAAAAATAATTTCCATTTACTAAAACAAAAACAATATACCCACAAATACGTTTTGTGTGTGTATTTAACTAAATTTTGAAAAAATATTGTTGGCAGTGCAGTGCTTCTTAAATCTGACGCTATCAATAAGTGTTCAGACAAAGTAATTTCTACTGGGCGGGAGTTTGCTTCCGGTTCGGACCGTTTCCGCGAGCTTGTTGTTGGTGATGGGCGCTGAGCCAGCCTTGGACACGGTCGTGTGGTTTCCCGTGAGATCCAACTCAAAGTAAGATTTTTTAAATATATGGTGCTTTCTCTGTAAGGTTTGTCGCGTATTTGATCAAATATATACAATCTGTGGTCAAATCGTCGTTTTATTTTCTTGGCAGTTCGTGTCCAAAATTACTTCATGTTAACTGTCTACTCTAGCCCCAAACATGTTGTTAGCATAAAACTGTGCCAGTATAATGGTCCTACAATTTCGTTGTTTAGCAAAGTGATTTGTGTTAAGACTCGTAACATTACCAACTACCCCTTAAATGTTCTGAACCATAATAACAGGCGTAGTTTTCGCAGTTTGGAGCTGCTAGCTTCTAGCTAGCTGTTGCTAACGGTACGCAGCTAACATAAGTAGACCAAAGTCGCTACTGTCCTGCTCTGTCTTGTTGCCGGAGGTGCAAGTGGAAAATACAGTTGGCAACAGAAGCCACGTGACATTTATTAATCTTCTATTATTTTCTACTCTTGGGGACAGTTAATTTCCCCGCAGAAGTCCCTAGTTACATTAGCTCAGCGGAGCGACTCTCAAGGAGGAGACAGGTGCAGAGCATGGTGCGGAGGCAGAAAACATGTTTATTGCTATCTGAGATCGCTCTGATTTCCTCGCGGTCAGAAAGTAGCTTGTTTCAGCAGAAAACTAACGTTAAGTTAACAGCTACTGCATGTTGTTAATGTTATGACCCGTCCGCATCAGCATCACTGTATTATATCAAGGCCTGTCTGTTTTAGCCAATGTGCAGCTATATGGTTAGTTATGATAAGTTCAAATACATTCAGAAATCTGCAGCACATTTAAAAAACCCAAACAAAGTATAAGTGATACATTATAAACATGCATTTTTAAAAGAACATACTGAGGGTGACTGCTATAGCCTATTGCAGTCACAAAATTAGAGTGGAAATGCTAAAAATCTAATGTGACTTACATTCGCATTTCATATGAACAACATTTTGGCATGTTAATTTTGAAATAAACGATATTTTGCTGGACAAGTAGGTTTTGTTTCCGGGCAAGTAAAAAATACCTGCCACTTCAAGTACCTCAAAGCACTTAATGTCAAGTCCTGACAAGGTAATACATTCAGCTAAAGACAGGTACATGTTGTGGTATAGCATGTTTTTTGTGGAATCACGTGAAGTAACGCAAAATGCACAAAGCACTTTGTTTGTACTAATCTAATGCATTTTTTATATGTAAAAAGCAGCACCGCCTGTTTAAATGCTTATGATATTTGTCCAATGAAGAGTATTTTTAAGCATGTTTATTAATTTTATTTTATTTTATTTTAGATTTTTCCTTTCACTGCTGCCAATTGATGGAGGAAAGCTACAGCAGGAGGTAAGTGTGATACAAAAAGAACTGTTAATAAATTAAGTGAATGTAATGTACTCGCTAGGGATGCAATAGTTTTTTGGGGGGGGGGCATTATACATTGGTTGGATCCTGCTCCAGACTTGTTTCTGCTTTTTGTAATGTAAAACATTTTATCTTAACTGCTTTAAAGTGACTCAATGGTGTAAACGTTTTTGGGTCTGGAGTTTTTTTTACTGTAATGCTCATTGTTAAATAATATTTTGAATATGAATAAGGGCTGTCAAGCGATCTTAGATATTTTTATTCGCTTGATACACTTCAAACAAATTATCTTCGGTCTTCTTGCATCCCTTGTATTTACAATACATTACAATACTTGCATGTGATACTGTTTGGTATGGGCCACACTGATTTTGTTTCTGTAATTTAGAGCATAAATGAGTGTGCCCTGCAAGATTTGCGGTGAGTCCTTGGCAACAAGAGAGGAGATTGTCCATCATTTGTCATTATATACGTTTTTATATCTAAATGAACACAATCAGAAATATGAAAACATATTCAAGATAAGAAGTGCTGAATACTTCCTAATTTGTGGTGTTTTTTATTTCTATGTTTCGTAGGATCCAACCGCTGCTATAGAAAAGAGGAGGGAAGTCGTAATCCGAGGCCTAATTGAATACATGGGGGAGAAGCCAGGAGACTTGATTTCAGATCTACAGGTAAAATTTCCAATCTTTTCTTTTTCAGGGTATAAAAAAAGTACCGTACCTTATGCTGATATGTCTATCATTAAGAGTAGTAGTATCACCAAATCCTCTTCATCCTCTGCATATGCTAAAAGTCAGCATATGCAGATTATTTAAAAAACATTTTGGTCTGATTTGACCATAGAATAATCTACAATCATGTAGAAAAGGTTAAATCATCTACTGGACTGGGTTTTGGTAAAGTTGAGGATGTTTCGCTTTTAGTGACACAAGCTTCTTCAGAGCTCGTCTATTCAAATTGTTTTCAATATCACTCAACTTTACCAAAACCCAGTCCTGGCGATGATTTAACCTTTTTATAAGATGGACACTCCCTGGATGAATGAGAGCCTTCACAAACATCTGACCATATGACATTCCCCCAGCCCTCTGGATGGAATGGTCACTGGAAAACTTCAGTTGGACATGAATGAACATGAGCTGGCTAAAGCAGCTGGACCTGTATGGTATGAATTAAAGGTGCACCGATCTGATCTGTCACCAATCATGATTGGTCGATCACGGCCTAATTTTTGTGATCGGTGATTGGTGAAATGCGCCGATCAGAGGGGCCGATCAAACGTAGATTTCAGACTTTCTTACAGTAGATAATCTGGTGAAAACTCCACAGTATAGCGCCGCTCTAAACCGAGTTTTAAATGTAATTCGTGGCTACAAAACCGCTCTGGATGAAATGCTCGGCTGTATCCCTCTGCGCATGTCGGCTCTCCTCTTTCCAGACTGCAGTGTAACTAAACAAAACAATGATGAAGCTTGAGCTAACCCGCTATCGCTATGCTTTAAGACAAAGTATGTGCGTATGTGTTTGGCACCTCATGTCGCCGTCTCCTTGTGGAAGTTCTTTTCTTTCTTCAAATATTGTCTAATGTTACTGTCAAACTAATTTAGGCAGAAATGTGAGAAATTCCACACAGTGTGCTCACTTTTTCTAAACATTAATTGAACAAACAATATATATTTGTACCGTCAAATAATTCCTGCAACATTATAACATACATAATGGCTGAATTTATGTGTTGTATCAAATATATTTAAGCTGTTACTGATGCATTTAGACACAAATTATGTAATTTAGTGACAAATCTCAAAATTAAACAGATATAATCGACTTGAAAATGTCTGCACAGCTCATCAGCCGTCAGTTTCTCTGAATAGGTTGCGTTCACGTTTTAGAATGTGACGATGGGCAGTTGTCAATACAACTCTATGGGAGAAATACAGTTTTTGTACGAACTCTCAAACAAAAATTGACAAATGTTTTTCCTCTTCAGTGTTTGACAGTGATTAGATTTACTAACCCACTTTATTATTTGTATGGCTGAAAGTCCTTTCTACTGACCAACATCACGCTCATGATTTCAAAAATTGTCATTGGTTTATAATATAAACCAATGACAATTTTTGAAATCATTATGTGCTGAAAGAGGAGACAATGAACTTTGAGACAGTTTTTTTCATGTGGATTCTCCTAGTAATGATCTCAGTCAATACTAGGAGTACTACTACTCATTAACCAAAAACTAAGACAAAAAATATGCAGTTTGCCAGTTACCATAGTTAACGCCATGGAATTTTCACTTGCCCTCCACCTCAGTTTTAAATGAACACGTGAACACAACCTATTGCATTGACTATCAAAACATAATGTCTAATGTATTTTTCCCTCTCAAATAGAGTCTGGAGGAAACTGAAGACACTCGGCAGAATATCGCCTATCCAGTGAAGATTGTCAAAGTTGGTGACACGTACGAGATCAGCATTGATGGCCTTCAATGCATTACAGGTTTGGGCACTGTAGCCAAGGCCTCCTGTATTCTTGTTGGCGTTATATACGCATTGGACTTGAAATACCCACCCAAGCTTCAGCACACATTTGAAACTTTTCAGAGATTACTGATTGGTCTCAGTCCTGTGAAACCAAGAGCATCTGTGAGATACAGTTCACTCCTTAAAAAGCTGTCTTAAAGTTTGAATTAAGGAATCCTCACTTTTGACCCTGTTCTAACATTTTTCAAATATAAAAAGTGTTTGAAAATTCAAAATGGTGAGTTATAGAGGCTTAGAAGCACAATGTATCAGTTTTGTGAACTGCAACTGCATGTTTGTGTGTTGCAGCAGACACCTTTGTAATTCCCTCTGCAGTAGATGTAGCCATTTTTTTTTTTTTGTCCTAGGGATGTGGATTGTTCATTTGGGAATTATCTGTTCACTCACTATTATTTAGTAATTTTACACATTGTGTAGGACAGGGGTTCTGAAACTTTTAAAGGCAGGAAAACAAAATCAAAATTTGGATGAAAATATTCATTTCACATTGCCCTTTTTATTGGTAGTTGTTTCCTTTTTAAAATATTGTATATCACAAGGAATTGTTTTATATATATATATTATATATATATATATATATATATATATATATAATGTATTTGATCAGACTCCCTCTAAATACAACTTCAGAATTTGAATGAGACGTAAACGACTAGAACATGATTAAAACCAAAGTCCTTCAAGAACGTTTTTAGAAATCTTTAAAAAAAATGTCTACTCATCTTTTTACTTTTTTTTGTTGTTAAAACTGGAGTGGTAAGGAAAAATGGTACAGAGTTCTGTTGGAAGATAAATATTAATGTTTCAAAATGTAATATTGAATATATAGTTACATTTAAGTGTACATATTGAAAAATAAATGTTGACGTGGAAAAGCTTTAAAAGGTTTTATTTTTTCAGAACACAAGCATATTGGTATAAATGTTTATTTTAAAGTCATGTAATTTTTTATTAGAGCTGACATTCTTGAAAATGTTTTATGAGTTTTCTGAGTTTTTTGAAGTACCGAGTTTAAGTATTGAGTTATGATGTTATGTTGCTGTTTATCGATCCTGATGGTCACACGTGAATGTGTGACCAGAGGGGGGAATGTGAGATTTCATAACACTTTTAAGCAACTTTTGTTAAAGTTAAACTCATCATTCTATCAATGTGCAGAAGCCTGTACTTTTCCACTTCATGTTTTGTCTATCTGAAGGCCAAGCTACAAGCACAACGTGGCAGCTGCTGATTGGAGGTCTCCATGCCTCCGCTCTGTATAATACACTTGCATTCTGTTGTATCTGTTGTTCGTGCTGTCTCTACCATCGACAATAAAACATGTCTTCTGTCTGAATTTAAGACGCGATCCCAGACTTTGTCATCTTCTTCAGGTGGTGGAAGGATGCGGGCCTTGTCTGTAACATCTAGAGAACAGAAGACATTTGCATGTCAAATGAGGTGATGACCGAAACAACAGGGGGCTAGGGTGGGCTTTGTTTATTCGTCTGGGGGAGGAAGGGCTGCGAATGAGTGACTTCCAGACTGTGAACCCTGAGAATTAATATACTGTATATATTTTGTAATAACATTTTTAACACAGTATGTTTCATTCTGACTGAAGCACATGATAATGTTATAAAACAGTATGTTTCATTCTGACTGAAGCACATGATAATGTTATAAAACAGTATGTTTCATTCTGACTGAAGCTCATGATAATGTTATGTGATGTGAGAAATGCACTAAAGCCACTGGAGAAAAACTGTAACTATTCAGATCCTCCCCCTCCCCCTAAGATGGCAAAGTGAAGCTCAGCCTGTGATAACGGCCCTATTTACATAACAAAGTTGGCCGTTCACAGGTGATTTCGTTTGTTAGCTAAAATCCTTGGGGTCATTTGACACCGTGGAGGGGATGATAGGTATAAGTGCCAAATGACACCTCCATGCGAGTGCTAGTGTTAAAGCTGCTTTCAATATCTTTTCAAATCTGTTTTCCTTTTCTCCATAGCATGTCTGTAACAAAAGTTCTCATAATCTGAAGTCAGCGTATTTACATGGTTTTATGAAACAGAATTCTGAGAAAAACAGGTTTAAAGATCGACATTCCAAACATAATCATCACAGTCATATAACATGTAAATTTTGAATTACTCTGTTATGGCACACTTGTTTTAGTCACTATGTTGTAGAAGATTAAAAAGATGTTACTTTGGCACCAATTAAACACACAACACTCATGAATTAGTCGAAAATCAAGAATGTATTGATTCTTTCAATATTCAATGGATTGAATTTTGACCTCCTCTTTTTCTTTCTCTTTATAATTTACTGAAAATTAGATATGTATTAGACATTGCCAGTATTATTCTATCAAATCACGCAGTCTAAATATCCACAACCACCAAGCATTTTTAATGCAAGGAGAAACTTAGGTAACTTTAAACACAAATAAAACAAATGGACCTGTCCGACTCGAGTGTCTATGCTTCGTGTGTCTCTGGTTCTGTCCAGGTGTCTATGATCCGCGTGTCTCGCGTGTCTCCGCCTGTCTGGGTTCTGTCTGCGTATATGTAAATGTAAATGTCTGTCTGTGGTTCTGTTCGCGTGTCTATGGTCCGCGCTCGGAGCCCAGACGGCAGTGCGTTCACTGAGCTGCATGTCAGAGCGAGTATGATACCTGAGCGTCTAGTCGCTGGCAGAGCTAAAGCGGACTTAGCCTGCCACCTTGTGGCGATAAGATGTACCATTTTTCACGCAGCTGCGTGATTCCCGAGAAGCGTGAATGAAGACGACAAAACGGAATGGGACCTACTGTACCTGTATGAATATCTATGCATTTATATAATCTATTTTTCCCGCAAGTAGATATTAAGGAATTCCCCAAAATCTATACTCTATACTTTCACATTCAAAAGTGAAATGTAAATACCTATAATAGTGGTATGTGATCTTAGAAGTGTAGCGACAGTCATTGTCCTGCTATTTATCATTTCCAGGCAAATCCTACAAATGAAAGTCTGGCATTC